GGCCACACTGTGGCCCACAGCAGACTAAAAGCCTACCGTGTCCTGCTAACTGAGCTCTGGGGATGATGACCCAGGAGTTCCCAGATGTATTTACGTTCCTGTGTACTGACTTTTGGGGAGGATATTTTTACTCAGTGGCTTTTTTCCATGTATCTTCTATTGTGGCACTGATATCTTGTGATTTTGCCAGTGTGTTTTCCCTGAGAGAAACTAATGATCAGGTGGGGGGAAAGAACAATGAGCAAATGTTCTATTTTAATACGGAATTTTGAATTTGCCTATGGGCAAAGAATTCAAACAGATTCAGATAGTTATTTCAAAGTATTTTGACTTTGTCACTTCACATTTAAAACTATCACATATAGAGGCACATAAGTTTAGAGAGAAGAATAATGTTTGAGGTGGTTAATGTCATAATGCATATACTAGCCAAACATAAATGCATTAGCTTATACATAAATACAGAATCCTTGCCAAAAGGCTGCTGAAAGGTGACACTGAAATAAAGCAGCAGATGCTGAGAAATGAGACCTCTGTGAATGAGAGTGAGAAGGAAATCTGGTTTAGTCTTTGTTCATGGCTTTGATCCTGTGTTCAAACGATGCTTTCACAATTTTGGATGAATGTTTATATCATTTTAAAATCAGGATGTAGTAGAAGAACTAGGACTTTTGGGGAAAAAAATGTGAATTTAAAGAATGAAATTACATAGAAAGGCACAGTACAACTCCCTTCTTCCTCTCCCATGTAAACTGTATGAGTATCTCATGTCTCCTTATTGCCTGATACTTCTGTGGCAGTAGGAAAAAAAAGCTTAAAAACAGAGGTATAGGTTTTATAAAGCATTAAATATGTCTTTGCATATATCATATCTCATCTTATTGCTGCTAGGCTACCACAGCCCTGTATACATTCCTAACAAAGTATCCTGGTGTTTAATAATCTGGTATGTCTTGCTTGTAAGTAACTCAGAAAAAAAGATATCTTTGATGATTAGCTGATGAATTATCTGCCTTTAGATATTTCTTGCTTGGGGCTAGAGTGCAGCACTTAGAGCACCGAGCTGCAGAATGAGTGGTGGCTCAAAGCTGCCCAGAGCCTGTGGTGCTTGAGTGAGGGGTTCCAGCCTGGCTGGCTCCAGAGGGGAGGAAAGGGCTGGCTCCTCTCTGCTTCTGGAGGAAGTCCTCACTGCTTTCCTCAAACCCCAGCCCATATGAAGGTCCTGTGCTGACTCTGAAAGCTTCTTGCATCATCCCTCTTACTTTTCCCCACTAGACAAAGTCCTAGCACAGTCTGATGTGTTGCAAGTTTGGGAATTAGAGCCTCTGCCTGTCCTTGCCTCCTATTTCGTCACTTAGCATTTATCAATATGATCTCCAGAGGTTACTGGTATGTATAAAAAGAAAACCTGTTTTAGCTTCTCCTTGTGTCTTTTATGCTTTATCTTCTTCAGGTTTTTTTAAATTTTATTTTATTCTTTACGCTCCTTATGTATAAAAACTGCAACTTTTTACACTTCAGTTTATTTTTCAAAATTAGAGGTTTTCTGTGTGTACTTGCATAGGAGACAGACATAAATAACTGAGAGTCAGTCCCACTTTTTAGATGCTTACCTAGCTTTTTTAGACCCTCTTAGGCATTGGGCTTTTGCTTGCGAAGGAAAGTCTAATTTTGAACACAACTGTTAAAATTATCTAAAGTAGATTCACTGTAACTTACCTCCTGAGACTTGGTGTCTTCTAAAATGAAACAGTAAGCCATATAGAACCACCACTACGACAAATATAGGTGGCATGGGCTTTATCTTGCTACTAGGCACCCAGACAGGAGCCCATGTTTATAGGCATGGTGCTGGATTCAGCTCTGCAATGAGCATAGAATGTCAGAAGCCTTCTCTGCCCTACCCTTTGCAGGCGTCCGTATCACCTGTTGCTTCTGACTGATGCAAGCCCCGTTCACTACCTCTCTGTGCCTGGTGGCAGCCAACTGAACCCACGGCTCCCACTGCCCTGGCCCCACTGCAGATCATGGTTCTGCTCCCTGGATGGGAGCACATGGCAGAGGGAAGACTGTAGAATAATGTGACCTCAGTGAGGAAAGGTAGTCCTTTCTTCTCTGACATGTACAATTTTAATACTGATAGCTCTCACCCCTAAGTTTAACCATTATTTCTAACACTGTCTTTCTCTTTTCTTCCTTTCCTTTTCCTCTATTACTTTGGACCTCCCTGGCATATAAAGTTCCTTTATTTCATTCATGAACCTGTAGCTAGCTCTTCCCTGGAGACCTACAAATGTTAAGGTGGATATAGCTCAACAGTATCTGACTGTGGTTAAGCTCATTTCTTTTACTAAATGAGCTCTTTAGTTTAGGATCTGCTGTTATAAATGCTCTCTCTGACATCTCAAATAAAAATAATAAGCTGTTCTCTCCCAGCAGTGAGCTGCCCTTGGGTGTTCATTAGGACACTAGCTCGGTGAGGGTCCCTGGGGAGTGATACTTCTTGTCCTTTCGCTTTATGCTTCCCAATGCTCACACTCCAGGAGGACCTAAAGCCCATTAGCCTCCTAATGCACATCCTGTTTTGCTTATTGCTTTATTAATACTGGGCTGGGAATGAAGAGCAGATGTTGCCCAAAAATGGCAGCAGCATGAGGGAAAATGGGAAGGAAGACAAGGGTGTCAATTTATTGCATTCATGGCATTTCATCAAGTGGAAAACCTGGCTAGAAATGTGAAAAACTGAAGGAAAAGCAGAGCTATAAACTCATGCCACCCTTCAGCTGAGTTCTTTCCTCTGTGGCTTGAAATAGACTGGGCTGAGGTACCTCACTGGACATCACCAGCTCCCTGAACTAGCAAGGACACGTAAAGCCTCCAAACTATCACCAGCTAAAGTGTGACCTTAAAAAGATGGCACCGTGGTAGCTCTGCTGCCTTCTCCTCTGAAACTGATCAGCTTAGGAGACCAAGCTGTGAGTTAAGGTCCCGCTCTTCCCCTCTGCTAATGGTTACCATTTCTCTGCCAGGAGGTTGTGTCCCTCAAAGAACAGCAGCCAAGAGGGCTGTGTGAGAGCTCACCACTGCAGCAGGGGCAGCCCATGAGGGGAGGAGGTTGTCAGCTGAGAACTTAGGAACTCTTAAGATGAAGGGCCTGATTTCACTAGTCCTGACTTTATGTCTTTCACTAACACAGATAAATCAAAAATAGGATGTCAGCCCTTGTCCTTAATCTGGCAAATTGGGAATTATGTTCTTTTGCAGTTGTAGCCATAAACAGACTGGTTTGCAACACCAATTGATTGCTTCGTGCTTGAGGGATACCATGTACTTTAAATTCACTATGGTGAAAATTTAAAAGCAGAAGGTTTGCATAGTAAGTCATATATATTCGTATTTTATTGTGAACTTGGGTACCATTGTTGCACCTTCTGCAATCAACTTGTCAAGTGAAGAGAGTAATAAATAAGGGGCAGGATGCTCATACCAACTGCAGACTACAAATACTCTCTTTGCTCGGCTAACCTGTTATTCAGATCCAAAAGTAAGCAGGGAAGTCAAGCATTTTAGAAGCTGTAGTCAGCTGGAGTAACTTTCCAAAACAAACATCTTCATGTAGTCCTAAGAATAATTTTATCTCTTGACAGGTTTGCCACTGTGGAAAGAATTGAAATTGTGCCTGTTTACAGGCTGTACTGTTTGCAAATGTTGTGAAGGCTGGGAATGCTGTGCCCTTATATTTTCCCATGGGACTGGAGAACGCTTTGGTGTATCTATGGTTATTCTGCAATCTCATGAAAATTGTTGTTGATTTTATACAACAATGGTTAGGAATCCTTGTCATAGGAAAGGATTCCAAAACTGATGTAAAAATCATAGAATCATAGCATTGTTGAGGTTGGAAAAGACCTTTAAGATCATCGAGTCCAACCGTTAACCCAGCACTGCCAAGTCCACCATGAAACCATGTCCCAAAAGGCCACATCTACACATCTTTTAAATCCCTCCAGGAATGGTGACTCCACCACTTCCCTGAGCAGTCTATTCCAGTGCTTGACAATCCTTTTGGCAAAGAAATTTTTCATAATATCCAGTCTAAACCTCCCCTTGTGCAACTTGAGGCCATTTCCTCTCATCCTATCATTTGTTACTTGGGAGAAGAGACCCACCCCCACCTGGCTACATCCTCCTTTCAGGTAGTTGTAGAGAGTGATAAGGTCTCCCGTAAGCCTCCTTTTTTCCAGGCTGTGAACACTGCCAGGTCCCTCAGCTGCTTCTCGTAAGACTTGTGCTCCAGACCCTTCACTAGATCTGTTGTCCTTCTCTGGACATGCTCCAGCACCTCAATGTTTTTCTTGTAGTGAGGGGCCCTGAACCAGACACAGTACTCGAGGTGCAGACTCATCAGTGCTGAAAACAGGGGGATGATCAGTGTCCTGGTCCTGCTAGCCACACTATTCCTGATACAAGCCAGGATGCCATTGGCCTTCTTGGCCACGTGGGCACACTGCCCACTCATGTTTTTCCAGCTGTCAAACAGCACCCCCAGGTCCTTTTCTGTCAGGCAGCTTTCCAGCCACTCTGGCCCAGGCCTGTAGTGCTGCACGGGGTTGTCGTGAACCAAGGGCTGAAATCAGCACTCAGGTGCCATACACATGATCCATTAGACTCACAAACCGCAGTTACTGGTTCGTGTACTAGTTCAAGTGCAATGGAGTTAATGAAGTTTAATGGGATACTGCCTACCAGGTGAATTACACGTATGTTCTTAGGGATGGCTCAGTGAGATGACTGAGTTGAATTAAAAGCTTGTCCTTGTTGAAATGGGTTATCCTCTCTTCCTCTTTAACTGTGGACCTCCTCTCTCTTCTTCCCTTTATTTTTTTTTCCAAGTTCTTGTGCTCACATCCTTGGTGAAGTGAATCAGCTCATAAAACTGGCAAAACACGTTTTTCAGTTTTTTGTTTTTTTTTTTTTTTTTTTTTTTTTTTTCTCTTGGATTGGTTTTCTGCTGCCTCAGTGAGTTTATTCAGCTTACTGAGCATTGAGGTGAGTGCCAGAGCTGCAGTGAAGGAAGCTGTGGCCATGGGGGACTGACAGTGGAAGAAGAAGGAGAGAGGAGCTGCAGTAACAACAAGCTGTGGGATGATGAAACAGAAGAAATTGCGTTAAGGACCTTATGTAGAAAGAAAGAATCACTGAGAAAAGTTTTTCAAGAATCCTTGAAAACCTAACTGAATTGAAGAAAATACTAAAACTACAGGCCTAGACAAGCACTAAACTTGGGGCGCATTATCAACAGGAGAAATGTGGTTGAAAACCAAAGGAAAAAAACCCTATTGATTTGGCTGTGTTGAGTTTGAGCTGTTTGAGTTACAAGCAAGTACAAAGAGTTATCAAAATACTTCTTGATAATAGCTTAATAAAATTTGAAAATGGTATCCTATAAGACTATCTTATTGATCAAGACTATAAATAAGTAAACAAATGTGGTAAGTAAGTTTTAAACACTTTTTTTAAGGAGTGGAAACAAATCAAAGTTAAATCCTCTACCCTGCCAGAAAAGCACTAATTATTCAGAAATGTGTAGAATATTATACTTCTTTGGTGTATTCCTTGGTATTATTTTATGGAAAAACTTCAGGCAAAAAGAGGAATACCTCAATAGTTCACCCTCTATCAAGCCACAACAAATATAATAATTTGCAGGATTATCTAGACTTATCTTAGTACTAGGGCTTTAAAAAAGGGACTTCAGAGGAAAACAAACCAGTGCAATTCAAGACACTCCACAAACCGAGAGCAGGGGATTAGGAGGAAATTATATGAGGAGGAAACTCCGAACTACTTTTCCCAGGTTTCACGTGTGCTTCCCACTTTTGGAGATGGTTTACATTGGACACAAGACCCCGGACAAAAAGGATCATCGAGTGGTCCGGCTATCTATTTTTCTTAAAATAAAAATTTTAAAAAATCAACCCTTAGTTCTTTCTTCTCACTTTTCAGCAGATGCTGTAACTGAGGTCCTGTCTTCCGAATATTTCATTGCCTGTTACACAAAGCGATGCACCACCATCCTAAGCATCCTAAACACCGCCCGGAGCTGCCAACCGTGGTGCTCCACGGACTTTCTCAACCACGGGCGCCGAGTTGCAAGCACTCGGCAGCTCCACGGTTGAGCAAAGGCACCGACCGGGCAGCCCCCCAAAGCGTGTGCCGCCGCCGGGCTCACCCTCCCGCCAGGGCTCCGGAGACTCTGGCGAGGGGGTGTAGCCCGGGTACTGCGGGCCGCCGCTCTGCCCTGTCGGTGCACGGCGCGGGGGGTCCGGGGTCGCTCCCTGCGCGGGGGCCAGGGGAGGTCGGAGGGCACGGGAGCGCCCGGCGGTATCGCCCGGGCCGGCGCTGCCGCGGGCGCGCCTGCGCTCCGCCGCGCCGCCCGAGAGGCGGAGGCGGCCCGGGGGGACCCGGCGTTGGGTGACAGGCGGGGCGGGGGCGCAGGGCACGGGCCGGCCGTCCCCCCCCCCTCCCGCGCCGCACGCTCGGTGAGTAGCCCCGTCGTTCTCCTTCGCGGCGGCCGGGAGGAAGGATCCCGAAGCGCCCCGCCGGCTCCGCTGCCCACCCGCTGCGGGTGGGGAGGGATCCGCCGCCGGGGCGCGGTTGCCCGGGTGCCGCTGCTTCCCCCGCCCGCCCCTCCGCGCGGCCGCAACGAGCAGGAGGCGGCGGGGAGACAAAAGCGGACAAAGAAGGCAAAAGGCGTGTTCCGCTGCCGGGGTAGGGATGTCTGGGCACTGCTCTGCGCTCGGCGGTCCCGGGTGGCAACAGCGCGAGCTGGGGCGGCGGGGTCGGTGCCGGGGTGCCGGCTCTCAGGGTGCCCGCCGCCGCTGCCCGCCTCCAGCTTTGTTACCCTTCCCTCCGCCCGCCGCCGCTCCCCGGGCCGCCGAGTTGTAGCGGAGTATTTATTTCAGCGCATTTATTTTTAGGCTGGAAAATAAAAGGCTTGGCACGGCGACCTTTGGCTGTCGCATCCGGCGCCAAATAAAAGGGTCGCGCTCTGGCCGAGGCCGCCCCAGCTCTTATGTAAATCCATGTGCCGTCCCCAAGGACGCGCGGTTCCCGGGGCGCTGCCGTGATCCACCCCCGCGGGGACGGGGACGACGGGCGCTCCCAGGAGCTCAGGGCAGACCGCGGGGTCGGGCGGGCAGAGCCCGGGGAGGCGGGGAGGGACGGGACCGCTGGGGCGGGCGCCGTTGACCTCCCGTGCTTGCTCTCCGCCCCGCAGATCGGCAGCAATCCCCCGGACCTCTGTCACCAGCGTCGGCGGCGAGGACAGCGGAGGATGCGGGCGGCGGAGCGGGCGGCGCTGCCCCGCGGCGGGCTGGCTGTCCGCGGGGCCCCGGCGGGCGGCTGCTGAGCCCGGCGGCGCTGGCATGCGGCGGCTGGGAGCGGGAGCCGCCGGCAGCGCGGGCGCCCCGGCGGGCGGGCGGCCCCTCGAGCGAGACTGAGGGTGGATGGAGCCACAAAGGACTTCGGCTGACACGTGCGGCGGGCCGGCTGGCGGCCGCGGCTAGGGCCACCCCCCTCCCCTGCCTCCTCCCCTCCTCGCTATGCTGCGCGCCCGCCGGGCCCCTCAGCGCGCTCGACGCACGGCGGCGATGGAGCCGGCCGGGCTCCTGTGAGGCCGCCGCCGGACCCAGCATGGCCTCGGCGGGGACCCCGGCGCAGCGGCGCCCCGGGGCGGAGCGGCCGGCGGCGGGGGGCCGGGCGGAGGCGCCGCGGTGCCGCAGTCTGCCCGCGCTCGGCTCCCCCCTGGCGGCCGGGGGGGGCGGCGGCGGCGGCCCGGGCCCCGCGGCGGGACCGGCTCCCGAGGCCGAGCGGGGCGGGGGCGCCGCAGCCGTGGCCGGGGCTGCCCAGCCGCCCGGCGCCGGCAGCGGGAGCTTCCCCCGAGGGACGGAGCTTGGCCAGCCCGCGGCGCCCGGCCGAGGGGTGTCCCCGGCCCCCCGGCTGCTGCTGCTGCCGCCGCCGCCGGCGCTGCTGCTGGCGGGCCCCCCGGGCAGAGAGTGCCTGCGGGCAGTGCTGGCGGACTCTCGCTTCTTCCTGGTGTGCATGTGCTTCCTGACCTTCATCCAGTCCCTCATGGTCTCCGGCTACCTGAGCAGCGTCATCACCACCATCGAGCGGAGATACAGCCTCAAGAGCTCGGAGTCGGGGCTGCTAGTCAGCTGCTTCGACATCGGGAGCCTGGTGGTGGTGGTCTTCATCAGCTACTTCGGGGGGCGCGGGCGGAGGCCGCTCTGGCTGGCCGTAGGGGGGCTTTTCATCGCTCTGGGGGCTTCGCTCTTCTCCTTACCTCACTTCATCTCTCCGCCGTACCAGATCCAGGAACTGAACTCCTCCGTCAGTAACGAGGGCTTGTGCGTGGCTGGCAATGGCACCGCCAAAGAGAGTTGGGACTCGCCGGCCTGTTTCAAGGACTCTGGTGGAAATGACCACTCTCTCTATGTAGCTTTATTCATTTGTGCCCAAATCCTCATTGGCATGGGCTCGACACCCATCTATACCTTGGGACCAACCTACTTAGATGACAATGTCAAGAAAGAAAACGCCTCGCTTTACCTAGGTAAGGCATCTAAGTACTAGGGTGCTTCGAATGCTGAACCTCAGATCTCTCTGACGGACCAGTTGCGGGTACTTCTGCCCTGGTCCTGCGGAACAACGTCCGTGCTAAGCTTTCCTTCTGAAGTGAACTTTTGAAGTAAAATTTCCATGTTTTGTGGACTGGTGAACAGTAGTAACGGGTGAAGCTAATGCAGTGTGCGTAAAAGCAGCTGTGCTCACACCGTCCAGCACGGGGAATGGGACAGCAGAGAGCTTCTCTAATGCTTTTCAGCACTTGGTGTTAGCCGGGGATTTTTTCAGAAAGAAGTGTTAAAATTTGCCGTGCCCCTTCAAGTTTTTTAGCTAACACAGAAGCTGTATATTTCTGAATTTTGGTTAATGCCTTTAGCCTAGAGTCTCTATAATGTTGATGTTCAAAAAGCACTTAGAGAGATTCTTGGCATGCTTCATTTTACTTTTCCAGCATTCATTTGGCTTTAACTAGCAATGAATTTTGACTGGCATTGATACATCATCTGGCATCTCAGAAAGAGTTAAAAACCCATTGATAAACCAGCAAGTAAAACCTTCAGGGTTAAAAGCTCAGATGGGGGAGCTCAAGGGGCACAACAAAGTAAGAGTCCGGTCTGGTACATTGTATTCTCATGGCTTTCGGCAGGTACAGACAGGTCTACCTGATAGTCTTCCCTGGTGGGAGGAAGGGGTATCTCAGATAACTGGCTACTAAACTTTATTGGCGTTTGATCACGATAGTGAACACCATACATTTTTGTTAGTTTGAGTAATATGTAATAAGATTGGCTGCTCTTTGACTTTGCATTAGTATCTTACATGATGATGATGATGAAGAATCAGTAAGATTCTGTAAGATACTAATTCTGTAAGAATCATGTACCCCTTCAAATTGTTTTCAAACAAAGAGAGGCACTTATGGGGTGAGAGAGCTGCCAAGGGGTTTTGGATGCTCAGCATTACCATTTGCAGTTCAGTTTACTTTGGCTTTACAAGAGCCTTGGAGGTAGTAATTCCATGTAAAGTAGACATGCATGAAAGTAGTACTCTTGGGCTGTGTGTGTGTAACTACTTTATTAAGCAAACGTTAGTGATCCAGATCAGTATTTTTATTCCTTATGACCTGTTCTTTGGCAGTTTGACTATTCCCTGAATTGTTTTAAAGCCATGCGCAGTCTGTGCAGTGCCTTGAGAAAGCCTGAGGCACTGCTGGTTTTCGGAAGGAGGGAGAGGTATTTACAGCATTGCTGATCTGCCTGATGAAGTATTTGACAAAGTGTTTTCCCTCTCTCATCCCCTCTGAGAAAGGTTAAGTGGTATGGAAATTTAGATTAATCTAGCAACTTTATTGGCAGTATGAAAAAGCAAAGCATCTCCTTACTGAGGTTAGTAATTGTTATTTGGAACAGCAGAGAGGTGGCTGAAACTTGCAAGTAGGTGATTTCACACAGTCCTCAAAAACATGGGAAAAGAAAGGAAATGGAAAGGCTGCAGGTGAGGAATGAAGGGTAAAAGAGGTGAAGGGTGTGAGAGAAGGAAGTCTTCACCAGAGGGGGAAGCAAGGTCAGTGGAGGGAAATTCTCACTGTGCAGGAAAAACGATAGCTACCACTGACACGCGTCTAGCACAGGAAATCATAATGAAGTGACTCAGGTAACTTTTAATTGCAGCAAAGATCAACCTTAAAGTTAACAAAGGTAAAAGACACCAGCAGCTGTTGGTAGACTGTATATGACCCTGTACCCGCCAGGCACTGAAGGCAGCTTTGATCTATACTGGGAGTATCCTTGTAGAGTTGAAGTTCATTTTTAGTGATTCAGAAGAGTAAAGATGACTACACTCAGCTACAGCGTACATGGAAAATTTATGGCTGTGATTTGATTGTGACCACAGGGAGAATTAAAATGAACACAAAGCATGTTTAAACATTGAGTAAAAATGTATCATCACCTCTTTTCAGTCTTTAAGCTACTCAGGGCTAGGAGGAATGTTGCCTGCTGTTGGAAATCTTGGTATTATCTTTTTTAAATAGTGTGGAATTCTGAGGAAACCTTTAACTTGTTAATGTTTGAATATTTTTCTCACTTCAGACTTAGGCCAGTGACTTTTTGAGGGGCAGGAGTAAAATCTGAGTTTGTGGGGGAAAAGGAAAAAGAGCATGTGGTTTGTTTGGCACATTGATGTGAGCAAACCTGTTTTTGTTGGAACTTCTCAGTGGTTTGGAATGTTTTGTGTCCTAGAGGAGAGGGATTTGTGGGCAGCGTACAGACCAGCCAGTTGCAGGAATGGGATAGAGGTGGACAGGGCATGGCTCTGCAGGCCAGCCACCTCACATCCTGTGTTATGCAATGCCTGTTTCTCCAGGCAGTATGATTTTATTACTGGGATAAACTATGCAAGTGATGTCAAAATGTAAAATGTATATGTGCATGTAGGCATGAGCTAACAAAAAGTCTTGGCATGGGCCGTTGGGAGTTGAAGTTTTGAAAAGAGGAAAAAACCAGTGAAACAGATCCTATTCACACGGATACAAGAGTCTGAGTGAGGACAGTTCACAAAAAAAGCATCCTCTAACACAAAACAGAAGGTCACTAACGTGTTTGTTCATAATCATGCTGGTATTGCATTCTAAATTTTCTTCCAAAGAAAAATAAATATATATATTTATATATAAGCATGCACCAGATAAATGTTTCTCCAAGCTGCAGAAATGAAGAGCTTTTTGATCGTGCAACTGTGCCCACTAATAGTAGGTCAGTAAAGCCCCCCTGAGTATCACTAATCCTGATTCTGCAAAAACTCACCTTATGTGGCTGTGGAAGCTATCTTATTTATTTTCCAAGTTAATCCAGCTCAGGGCTTGAGTGGCAATAGCATATCCTCTTAAGTGTAGGCATGCCAGCTCAATGTGGACAGCTGTTTTAACATTCCTGACTGGAAGTCCTGCTCTCAAAAAACATATTTGATGCTTATATGTAGTCTCTTGGCTGCCTACACTTAAGTCCATCTGTCAGAGTGGCATGGTGCCAGTTTACGAGGTGCTGTGTTGTTTTTAGTAGGACAAAGGTGCCAAGCAGGGATATGATTTGGGCTGCCTGCATAGCAATGTGTGAGGTCTTCCGTGGGATGTTTCTTCCTTGTGAAGGCACTACCACCTCCGGGTTCTCCTACCCCTTAAACCTGATGGTACTTTGGTGCCCTGATGCTAACTTTGAGAAAATGTATGACATCAGGCTAGGAAACAAATCGTGATTGTAACAGGTGCCTAGGAAATATAAGAACTGGTTCCCTTAATCACAGATAATCCAAAAGGGAAGTTACACACTTTATGTAAAAACTGGGCAGTCACTAAGTGGTCTTTGTCTTCTCCAAAGTCTCTCCTTTCTGTAAACAGCTGTATGTACTGTGGCATGTCTGTTTTCAGGGCCTGATGTGTGCGGTTTCTCCTTTTAATTCTTTATTCAATTAAATTAATTGCAGTTCAATTTGTAGTTGAATTGGACTTCATGAGTTTTGTTTTGTACTCTTGAAGGTGTTTCTGCTTCTTGTAAAATTTTACCACTTTAAGCACAGTCTGTTTTTTCTGAACACTGTGCGTTTTTTTGTAGGGATCCAGTAATTTGTCATGAATGTGATTTACTGGATTTTTAAAAGCAGTTCCTTAATATTGTGTGGCACTTAGAAGTTTTATTAGTGGCATTACATTGCTGGAATAATTTTTAAATGTTTTTCTTCTCTTGAAAGTGGATATTGTAATAAAAAAGGAATTCACCTCAAAAATTCACACACAGAAAGGCAATATTAGGTTTTACAGAAATATTGCATTAGTGAAAATATTCAGGAATGGCTTTCACCAGTACCCCCCCAAAACGACTAGTGGATGAATTAGTCATTGTACTAAGGATGTTTTATTTCTGTTTTCAGGATACTATATGCTGGTTAGGATATGATATGAGAAAGGTGTCTTAAGTCAGTTTAATTTCATACAGACTGCCCATAGTTTTGGTGACAAACTGTAATTCCAAAATACAGAGATAAAGGCTTTATGAGTGAATGGCTGAAAAATTGGATAAACCTGTGCAAATGGGCTTGGTACAGATAATGGCTTGAGAGCCAGGGAAGTAAAATAATTTCCTAAGGTTTTTTCCACTAGTCTAAATATTTAGACTAGTTTCAAAAATACTTTAGACTTCTGCTTTGTTTTCATGGGGATCATTTGTTGGTTGCTGTTTCTAGTATTAGGTGAACCACTTCACTGTGACTATATTCTGTTTGCGAAACACCTTCTTACCAGTGTTTTACAGATGGATGCTCTGTGTACCTCTCATATCTTTTACAAGCTTCCCCAAAGCCTTTATGTATTTATATATATACACACACATATATATATGTATGTATGTATGGTGAGTTTATTTGTTGTATTTCTGGTGAAATCTACTGCTATATCCACATCCCACTTGGAAGGAGAGGGCAGGAGGAATAGCTTCACATACTCAATCAGAAACCCACCACCTCTGCCTTCTGGGTCCCAGGGCAGAGTCCAGCTGCCTAACACGCTAGATCTCTGTAACATGCCATTGCTTGGATGTTGGCACTGGAAAAACTGGATTTTTATGCTGCTTTGATTGATTCGTTTTGGTCTGGCCACTTCTGGGATTACGGATGTCACTGGAGGACAGGAACTGGAGCCTGCAGAGGGCATCAGGTCATCTGTATGGATGCTACAAGATCACCGAGGTTTTCCAAGACAGGATCAACTTTATAGCTGAGCAGGAGGGACCATCTAGAAGCAGTGAAACAGCTGATCAGCGTTTCATTTTATTCTCACCGTTCAGCCTATGACCACTTGTGGTTCACATGGAATATACTTCCCGCTTCCTGATATCCAAAAAGGCTAGTTTCCTAGGGGCTTTTCTCAGCGTTGATCCCTGTATTTGGTAAACCCTACAGAAATAGTACATTTATTTTTACAGCATCCCTGTGAGGAGG